AAAAAAAAAAAAAAGAAAAGAACAATACAGCACAGGATTCAAAAGCAGAAATTCAGTAATTTCTTCTCAACTCTAAAAAATAATTAACAATATTTTTAAGGAGCAAAACTGGAATAAAAGTATAGAGGTAAATTACCGAAGACAACTGTGGTAAAATTCTTTCTTGTGCTTTGTGTTTTTCTTTGCTGGGTGCTTTATCCTGTATGAAAAAATACAAAAAAATAAACTGCTTATTTATTAAAAAAAAAAGATGGTAGCCTAGAAATTCCTATGGGACAGGTCTACTTTAAAAAAAATTATTATTACTATTATTATTAATTTTAATGAAAATTTACAGAGACTTTGGATTTCCATTCATTCATTGTTACATTTTTCTTCCTGCCCACCCCTCCCCTCCTGTTCCTTCTTCTCTTTGAAAAGTATAAGAAAAATTCTTTCATTGTTCTACAATCCTTCTACTTTTCACATGGAGTTGCTATGAATAGAAATCAACTTGACAGCACCTAGCAACAATGGTAAAGGGGAGGCCAAGTGGTTACATTCTTCATTTAAGAGGAAAGAAAGTAGGAGAAAGCACTTAACCCCTAACACTCCTTAGAACGACCTTGAGATCAAGATTTCAAGGGTCTGAGAACCCAAAGATAGCCCTGGGAAAGAGTGAACATGAGCAAGAGACAAAGGAACATGGTCTCCATTGCTGGTGGAGCTTGATGGGGACAAGAATGGACATGTATTGACATATTCTCATTTGAAGCTGTTCATCAAATGTTGATAAAAAAATGAATATGTGCTAGTAGTTAGATTATGGAGGGTATTCTTTTAAAATGCAGTCACAGGGAGTTAAACATGTCATCATTTTTCCAGGTCCAAGCAAGCCTTGTGGTACAAAAGGTTAGTTATTACTAGGATGTTCATGGAAAGGTTGGAGGTTTAAGCCACTGAGCAGCACCATGTGGGCAGGGCTAGCAATCAGATTCCCTAAAGATTACAGCCATGAAGCCTGGTGGTGCAGATTGACAGGGTCAAAATGAAGTGACATTGACTTGATGGCAGCTAACAACAAGGGAAGTCCAGCTGATGGTCTTGTTAGCTAAATAAGTGCCAATCGGAGGTCATTACTTGACTCTTAACCATAGATTGTATCATTGCTGCTATTAAAAAATCACATTCTTAATAATAAAAAAAACTTGAGAAAGATGTAATAACCTTAAAGATGGCATCTCAACATGTCTCCTTCTTTGAATTTCTCCTCTCTATCTGTTCCCTTCATCCCTAAATAAGCTGTGTCTCTCCATCCTTCTGTTGCCAGGTTTCTGTACCCTAGCTCCATTTTAACTTATTTGGAACTTCCCAATAGGGCTTCCTGGGCTGTATGTTTGTTTTGGAAGGTATTTTGTTGTCTATTTTTTTTCTGGTAATTCACGTTAAAATTTACAGAGAAAGTTGGTTTTCATAACTCAACATTCAAACATTGTTTTTTATGTTAGTCACAGTCCTAGTCACAGTCCTCACTTTATAGCGGCATTCTTCCCATTTTCTACCTGTGTTTCCCATTTCCCACAGGACCTTTGCACAGTTCACTTTGTGTTATCATTCAGTTTTCTGTTAAAACTGTCTTTTTCAAAAGGCCTCCTGTGACTAATCCTTCTGGAACGAGCTATTCCCCAGATCATGCTATCCTCTTACACCACACTACTTTCCACATCCATGACATTGTACTGTTGGTTTGTCCCTGCTCTTCTGTCTCCCCTGTCGAAACAATGGCTGTGTAAAGACATGGATTTGGTCCACCTCCCTCTGAACCTTCAGTGTCTAGAACAGTGATGTCTGCCTCGTGGAAAAAGTCAGTCAACATTTGCCCCATTAACAAATTCAAGAATGAATGAATTTTATGCTCTGATGAATTCTGTGTTGTGACCTGTTAATCCTTATTACAAATAAAGAATTGGGATATATTCAAAGCAGTGGAATAGCTGGGTCATAGGGAATTTCTATGTTCAGCTTTCTGAGGAAAAAATAAATAAATAAAATTTACAATTTATGCCAATTTGAGGAACGACTCAATACTTTCCCTTCCCCCACAACCCCCTCCCCTTTTGGTGAAAGAGAAGGGGAGCTGGAAATAGAATGGGAGAAGTTTCTGTAAATTTCTGGTAACCATAGAGACAGTGATTTTAGTTTATTAATCTCATGCTCTTAAGCAGGCTGGGGCCCCACGGTGATTTCTCCAAATTGCTCAGTGCTGGTTATCCTGCAGCCTTCTTCATTAAGGATGAGCAAGCCCCTTCCTTTCTTGCACACACTTTAATTACTGATGAGCAGAAGCCCTGCGCTATTGTGCTCATTACTGTGCGTTCTAACCTGGCTGCACCTCTGCCTTTGGGTGATGGAAGTGGAGTCTTCGGTTAGGGGATGGGAATCTGGAAATGAGCAGCCTCCTCTCCAGGTCCACGACAGATGCCAGGACCGGGGCTCAGGTGACCTGATCATTGCTCTGTCCTCTAATCCAGCTGTCCTGAAGATGAGACCTTGGTGGCTCTGGAGCACCATTTCCTTTCAGCCACAGAATGGTGCCAGGAGTGCCTTTCTGCCCACACTGACCGCACTTGCAGGGAATGAACTGGACATGCTCTCAGGAACCATGGCACTTCTATTGTCCGGCCTCTCTACAGAGTCTGATTTAAGGCATATGCTCTTTTTCACATGGCCACTGGCGCGTCGTTGCCTATGACCGTGTCTTACGTCCTTTAGACAAGAGACCTCCAAACCATTTCAGGCTTTCATTGGTGCTGGAAGGAAATGGGGCAGTTAGAGTCTGTTCATCTATGGCTATTTCCACTTCAGGGAAGAACCTTGAAGTAGGTATCACAAGCTCTGCATCTGGATTCTAGCTAGCAGCTGACTCAATGCCGCTCTAGGTGTGGACTCACCCTCTCTGAGCCTTATTGGATTTGGAGGCTGTCAAGGTCTCTCTGTCCTGCAGTTATGCTGAGCTGACTCTAGACGTGATCTAGCCTCAGCCGGGTTCTGACAGGGCATCCTCATGAGTCCTAAGGGCTGGGCACATGCAGTATGTCTTCCAATGATGGAGAAAGAAACATATTTCTCACCCCAGGACTGCCCTCACCTAAGTGTTAACCCATTTTGGAAATACTAAGACTTCTTTCTAGTGGCATTTTCCATCCTATCAGGTTTAGAAATATTGAGCAGTGTTCCTGGAAACACTCAGTGTCAGTTATTATACCAGGTACTCGGGTGCCAGACACTGTACTGTTCACAACTGTCCAGCTGGAATCCTTGTTGCTGTTTTAGTTGCATTAAATAAGCTCCGACTCATGGCAACTTGACATATGACAAAGCGTGACATTACCCAGGGCGGTAACATGTTTATAAGTATTCTTGTGTGTGTTTTCATTGTGTGGCTACTGGGTCAACCCATCTCACTGAACATTTCTCTTGTTTTCACTGACTCTCACCTAAATATTATACTCTTTTCTATCTAAACATTATATTTTTCTGATGGCCAAAGTAAGCAAACTTCAGCTTATCCAGTCTGGCTTGGGATTAGAACCAGAATTAACTGGAATAAATAGTGACAGATTTAGACTCTGTGGAAGATCAGGCTGCTTCTGGTCAGTGCAGACCTATCTTCCACATACCTAAGGTCACCTTAATTGCATTGGAGAAAAATTATCTCCAGTTGTATTGGAGATAAAAATCTGGACTCTGGGCTCTTCAGCAATGCTGGAGCAAAGACTTGAGTGGCCCTGCATCTCGGGTCAACTTCATCAGGTCGCCGACACATCTGAGCCTGGCTTTTGTGAATTACAGGTGCCGCAACCTCTCGTTCCCTGACAGTCTGCCGGAGGTGAGCATCGTGTTCATCTTCGTCAATGAAGCTCTCTCCGTGCTGCTGCGCTCCATCCACTCAGCCATCGAGCGCACACCTTCACACCTGCTCAAGGAGATCATCCTGGTGGATGACAACAGCAGCAATGGTGAGTGCCCCAGCTTCCAGGCCTAGACCCAAGTTCCATGACTGCATCTGAACAGAGGGTTTAGCTTTAGCTTCTGCTCATGCTATTTTCTCACTACTCTCTGAGGTTTCTCTTTGTCAGGAGACAAGGTCTCCCCAGAGAGAAATGATTGATGGTGGGCACTGCTCTGGAAGGTAGGTGCACCCTCTCTCTGCGTCTTAAGTCTCAAAGGGCTTGATACCCAAGCTTCTCCCTCTCTCCAACATTCAGCTAATATTTATCTCTAATATCTATCTCTGTACTATCTCTATAATATCTATCTCTATAGTATCTATCACTAGAATATCTATCTCTAGAATATCTATCTATCTATCTATCTTATCTACCTATCTGTCTTCTGATGGGCTCTGGGTAAGGACTTATGCTGCCAGCCCAAAAGCAAGCAGTTCAAATCCACCAACTGCTCAAAGAGAAAAAGAGGATAGTCTCCTCTTTTGCCACTTACAAGCTCTGAGAACCACCTGGAGGATCAGTCCTGACTTAGGTCTAGCTCAATGGTACATGGTCGTGCATAAAACAACAACCATACATACATACATACATAAAAACATACATACATACGTGTGTGTGTGTGTGTGTGTGTGTATGTGTGTGTGTATAAGCACACAAAACCCTGGCCTCTACCTTGGCCATGTACACAGGGAATGTTTACAAAGACTCTTCCCATGAAGCCCTACTCCCCTTTAGAATAAATAGCACGCCTTTGTGTTTTCCCTAGAAGATTGTTGGCTGGGGTTGTCCCAGAAGTCGTGGTGATGATGGTGGAGTTGTTGACAGTGCGTGTGGTAGCAGATGTCACAGTGGTGCTGATGGGGAGGGTGGTGGTGGATGACTAGCCCAACAACAGCAGTGGAGCTGTTAAATACCTAGCCGTTTTGGTGGAGCATCTGTTCTCTGTTCATATGGCCACAACCAGGTCCCTTGGTGGTCTGCTAATATATTTCTGAAGCCGTCACATCACTATTTCTCCTTTTGTAGTTACCTCTGGTACAAATTCCATGACCTCTGCTTCACCACATGTACACCATCCTCGTCATGTTGCTAACATTTTAAAAGGACATATTAAAACCATTTAAAAACAGTGATTGTGGTGGTAACTTTTATAAGGATGAGCTTCTGATAAGGCATGAATTTTAAAAATAGACAACTGGGCCATCGTCTCAGGGGATCACTGGGTTCATGTTATCTTCAGAACTCTCTCTGGATCAGGTAGAAAATTCTCCAGTGAACCGGCTGCTTTAATGAGAAATTCAAATGGGCAATTTATGTTTTCTTATCAATTAAAGCTGAAACCTATCAGATAATTGAAATATGTTTAATCTCCATAAATACATTTTCTTTTTCGTTTTATCATCATGTAGTTAGAAATGTAGGAACAGTGTTGTGGTGGAGATTTTAGAATGTTCTGAAGGACAGTGCTTATGAATCATCTGACTGTTAGAGTTTCATAGTGTGGAGGAAGGAAAAGCTGTCAGGTATGACAGCAATTATACAATAGTGGTTTGGGGGATAATTGTGGATTGTAAAGGCAACAAGAATGAATCCATCTCCTGTCTCCAGCCATCAGGGCTCTGGTTAGCCTACCTCAGGTACCCTACCCGTGGACTTTATCCAGAATGGCCGGGGCCCCTTCAACTCTTCACTGGTAAAAAGGCAAGAAAACCAGCCTTCCAGGGGTGAGGGAATCCTCTTAGACAGAAGAATCCCTGCGCCCCATGCTTATGCGTTTCTTCACATACAGAGAGAAGAGAACAAAACTCCAGGAGAATGCAACCTGGAGCCCTTCACTTCTTCTTCATAATAGGATCCTCATCATGTCTGTAACGAGTTCTTCTGTCTTTAATCACTACAGAAAAAGAGAAGAATCTGACATTTATGTGCATCAGCTTTCCTGTTTATAGCGTGAAGCGAAGAGCTCTGGATTACGCACTGAATTCATGAGTTCTGGGACCATATCTACCACTACATGATAAATGACCACAGAAATGCCCCTCAGTCTCTTAGAGTCCCAGCTTCTTGCTCTGTGAAATTTCCATGATTAGTCCTCCTTTGCTTACCTTACCTCATACAATGAATGATAAAATGCATGAAAAATGGAACAGTCTGTATTACTCCCCAGTCCTTGGTTCCACCTCATGTGGCACACATGTCGTGTGTACAGAGTAACTGAAACACTGACTGGGAGGAGAGGAAGTCAAATGAGAAGCAGAGAGAACAAAAAACAGACCCTTGAGAGAATGCCAAGGGTGAGGCATTTACAGAAGCAACCAGAGATTAACAGAAAAGGAGCAGCCAGGAGAAGCTGGAGGACAGCACAGACTCCGTGGGCAGAGGCTGCATTTTCTGGCTGGAGCATCGTCTGTAGACCTGCACCCCCCAGTAGGTGGAAGGACAGAAAGGAGAGGAAGATGTGGTCACCTCTAAGGCAGCTTTGCTGGTATGTGAGGAGTCAGGGCTGCAGGAGCTGATGAAAATGAAGAGCAGGCAGTGAAAGCAGATACTTCTCTCAGGGAATTTTTACAGTAAAGAAGAATCAAAAACTAAAGCATAAACCTGAGAAGTGTTTTCATTTTAATTTTTTTTTATAATCCACAGCCAGAAATCCATTTTCATTATGATCCTGGATAGCACACCTACTTATACGAATGATTGAAGCAAAACTTTTTAGAAACAATACTTCACCTTACAAAGTGTAAAGCCCTTTTGATCTCTTCTATTATGTTCTGTTCTAGTTATTAAATTTTATTATATTTTGTTTTGTTCTATTTCGCTGGTTTTTTAAAGGCAGGTTATTCTCAAGACATTGACTGTGTATTACGCTGGCCTGAGAGCAATAGATTTGAGGACTCAGGCTTCACTTTTATTGATTTAGGTGGTGAGGGGGAAGAGGAAGCAAAGGTCCTGGTGAGAGAAGAAAATTTGAGATCCTGGGCATAGCAACAAAGCTGTTTATGAGAGGAAAGGGTTCATCTCCCCCATTCAGTAGGGAATAGAGAGATTGTTGAAGGCAGTGAGGAGAGTGTGGTGATGGAAGCTGAGAGGAGAGGTGGAGTGAAGCAGTAGAGTTTGATCCCAGCCATGGTCAGGCCATGGTGAGAATGGCCTGGAGTTAGAGGAGGGGTATGGTGCAGAAGAAGACAGAGGGGTGACCAATAACAGCATTTCTTAGGGCATTTCTGAGTTCCCAAAGTGAGCCTGAGACTATGGCTGTTAGAGGAAACAAGACATCTTTTGGCCTTAAAACACGTGAAGGACCCATTAGAGTGGTTCAGCCTGCACCACTGTGTCTGTGCAGACTCCTTGCAGGGAGGTGCTATCAGACAAGTCAGGTCAACTCACTTCTATGAATACTCATAGAGGACCCAGCCTAACCTGAGGGGATAAAGAGAAAGGTGAATCAGAGCGAGTCCTGCAGATAAATATAAAATGGTACATTCACACAATGGAATATTATTCAGCACTGGTGGCCTAGTAGCAAGAAGCTGCACTGAAATCCTGAAGGCGCATTGTTCGAATGCCACCAGCTGCTCCTTGAGAGAAGGATGGGCAGTCTCCTCCCATGCAATTAACTGCCTCTGAAAACCTGCCGGAGGGTCGCCTGGGGGTCAACTCTACGGTACACAACAACAACAACAAGAAGGAGCAATGATTTTGTAAATTACTGTATAATATGGGAGAATCTAGAGAGCATTATCCTGTGTGAACTAACTCAATCTAAATAGGATAAATACTGCATAAGACCATTATTATAAAAATACAAGGAGTAAGATATGGATAAATGTCCAAAAGGTGAAAGGGAGGGGAGCAGAGGGTAGGGAGAGGACAGAATCACTAGGATGACAGAGTATGTGAGCTGAGAATGTAGGGGGAGGATTAAGAAAAATCCATTGGGGACCTGAAAAGATGGGGCAATAGGCCTATGCCTATTAAGTAATTAATCCACAGTGATTGATTTTTTAAAACACTATGTACATGAGTGAGCATTTGAATCACAAAGTGAATGTTAGAATTTGTGAAATATAATCTACATGAATGATACAAAATGTAGACATTTTTTATGAAAATCAATATAAAATAAAAATAAAGTGGGAACATAATAGAGATAAAATTTAGCAGGACTCGGCTTCCAATCTCAGCTCTGCCGCTTCCTAGCAGTGGGATTTAGACTTGAGATTCCTCAGTCTGTGTGGGGATATCGGCTCCTATTTACACCTGTCCCCTACCCCAACAGTATCTCTAAGATAACATTAGTTAATGGACAGAAAAATTGCATGTAAGCTGTAAAGCGCTAAAAGGGCCCTGAGTTAAACAGTGGATAATAAGAACAGCCATGATGTTGTAAGGACAGTAGCTCCCATGTAGACTCTGTTTAAAGGTGTGTCTTTGGTTTTCTCTCCTTCCTGAAACAATGTACTATAATGGAAAGAGTTCAGGATTCAGCATTAAGCTGGCTTTTTAGTTTTAACTCTTCTCCCCCTTACTTCCTCCTAGCTGTGTGCGTAACCTCTGTGAACCCTATTTTTCTTATCTGTGAAATTGGATGGCTAATTCCTACCTTAGAGTTTGCTTGGAGACTTGAATGATATAATACATGATGGGAGGGACTTTGGTGTTGAAACTCTAACTTAAGCAGGTTAGAGGTCTCGCGGCTTAGTCCCGAGGGATTTTCGCCACTAACCTAAAGCTATACTTCTCTGCCAGTTAAATCCCGCCAACTGCTCCTCAGGAGAAATATAAGCAATCCCCCCTGCTGCAATTTACAGTCTCAGAAACCAGACTGAGTAAGAGTCAGCTAGGAGCCTCAAAAACGCAAACAAATGAGTGAGTGAGTGAGTGAGAGAGCTATTAGATAGAGACCTTAAGGTTGGTCAACTCTTCTAGGTTTCTGACTGACAGACTGGAGAGTAAAGCCAATCAGAGGTGCCTTGGAAGAAAGGCCTGGTGATCTGCTTCCATAGTCC